GGCAGTTAGCGGGTCTTCGCAGTTAGGTGTGAATGGAAAGATGTCGAAATAGCGAAGACGCCTAACAAATAAGCCAAAGTGGCAGTCAAACGGACAGACAGATGCCACAAACAATTATGGATTAGTGCAAAGTGTTAGTGTGTTAAGGTAATGTTGACTTATGAGCCGAAGGAAATGCGCGAAATGTGAATTTCCGAGGGTAGTAGATAAAAGTCGGTGGTTTTTTCTAAACTTGTTGGTACATTACGAAAGAGTTGACGATGACAGTTAATGTTACTCATCTTTTTATTGTTTAATAATTGAAACACAACGTATTTCCCAGTTAACCTAAGTCGGACGTTACTCCAAACACTTATTTTTGTACCCTGTACCGTTTGCAACAACGTCGGAGTCCCTAGAAAGTAAATCGCCGTTATCAGGACCACTAAAGTATATAGCTGCCATACAAACTGAACTATTAAAATTAAATATTTGTATTGAAAACTTTTTTATTTGACAAGGTATCTTCACGCAGTCAAGCATTAATTATTGTCCAAGACAGCGTTGCAGTTTTTGAAGAAATTGTTCATATCGGATAACTATAGCATATATCTGTCATACAAATTGATTGATCAAGATCAAGCTCTTGTATGGAAAAATATTTTAATTAATAAATTATCTAAAAATAAATAAATAATTATCGAAAAAATTGTTCAGATCGGACCACTATAGCATATAGTCATAAAAACTGTACGATCGATATTAAGTTCTTATATGAAATGTTTTTTAATTTTTCAAGTGTATTTATTATAGCTTCGGTGCAGCCGAAATTAACGCTTTTTCTGTTTTTATTAACAATTTGCTACTTAAGATATTGTAACCACAATTCAAAAGCGGAATAAAGTCCATTTTATATTTTATACTCTTTATCGAATCTTATTGCTTAAGGGGTTAGAGGTAGTCAGAATTTTTTTTTTTTTGCATTTTTGTTAAGTGTAATATCTTGAAAATATTTTCTAAAAATTTCAAGTTGATCCGATAATTACTTTTTGAATCATTCGACAAATAACAAAGAGCGCTCGTGCACTCAAAGCGCTCGGGAGCAGGTAGCTAGCGTTTAAATGCCTTTTTACCCAAAACTATGTTTTTTGAACTGCTGACAAACTGTAACTCGAAAACCGCTCAGTAGATTTTAATGAAATTTGTACAGCTTTTAGAATACATAATAAACTCGAGCCTGACGAAGGATTTTTGTTTTTTCAAAAGTTTCGATTTTTTCCCAAAAATATAGAAAAAAAATTCCTGAGGCCGCCATTTTGCTAATTTTTGAAAACAAAAAAATCTTCGATCAGACCCAGGATTATCTATTTATAAAACTAATTTTTTCTATCCGATTGATTTTAGATGAATCTCCAAGGACTAATGATTGTCACCGCAAGCACCTTTTTTTGGAACTGGGTCAACACAAACAGCTTTAACTTTGAAAATTAAATTTTTTTTTTAAATTTTCGTGACTTCAAGTCAATATTAAATAATTAATGCCATATTACTACTTTTGTAAAATAACATGATTTACTAATAAATAAAATTACTGAAAATTTTAATTTTTCATGCTTCTGACTACCCCTTACCCCTTAATATAGATATATAAATTAAAGAAGATTTAAAACAAAATTTAAATATAAATGCAGAGTGTCAAATGATTATTAAACGTAAACACAAAAATCTCAGCCACAACCGGGAGGAAACATAAAACAATTACACCAACAAAAGCAACAATTGGATACGATGAGCACTAAATTCATTACTTCATTGCCTTTACGCGGGCAATCGTCCATGGAAACGGTCAAAAGCAAGCGTATAAAAGCAGTTGTTAAATGTGTGTATGCATGTATGAATGTATGTGCATATATGAACCGCAGATGAATGAATAAAACGGGTTAAAAGATGCGTTTTTCGTGGCCAACAAGCAGATCAGACAATAATGCAACGCACTGGCAGGAGAGAGGCAAGTATGTCGATGCAACAATTTCAGAATGAATTGAAAACAAGCAGAAACGGTTGCTGTGTGTATATGTACTATGTACAATATGTGTGTTTACAGGAAAAAGCAACAAAGAAATAAATTTAATTTTTCGAAGAAGAACACAGAAAAATTCATTTTCAACAAAAAATAAATAAAAAAAAATCATTTAAAGTGCAATTGTGCATGTATCGCAATGGCAACTGACACTTTGTGTGGCTACAGGAGGAGTAAAATGGAAAACAAGCACAACCAGCCGCAGAAAGAACGCCGAAATTTGTAAACAGCAGCAGCAGCAGCAGCGCCAGCCAAACGCTGGAGCAGCTGCAACAACAAAGAAAGGCAAAAACAAAGCAAGCAATAAAAATCAAATCCACGAAAACCAAATAAACAACAACAACAGCACGCAAGAGTATGCTATATTTATCCCACCTTTTGGACCAACATTTGGATACCTACACATTTTAAACGTCATTTTGGGTGCTCAACTGCAGCTTGCCGCACACTGTTGAGGCATATACAGTGTGTAAATTTAAATTCAAAAACAACGAAAACAACATAGAATAAAGTGTACTCCTTGTGGACGAACAAAAATACATTAGCAGCTGCTTACAAATCTACATTCTCGAGTTCTCGCAAGCGATTGTGAGTATGTTGGGTAAGGTGGTCCTTAAATACAGAGAACTTTAATAGAATTATAGTCCAATATAACACATACACTTGTATTTTTGTCGTGAGTAGATCCCGTTAGGCTAGTCCGGAATCAAAATAACCTTGCTATTTTATTAAGGAATGTTTTTCAAGTAACAATTTCGATTATAAGTTTCAGTTACATAGACCCTGAAAAAGTCTTTGGAATTCTCTTTAAGGATTACCTTAATATGCACAAATGCATTTTTAAGATATATTTATACATACACACATATTATATATTTGTGTTTGTATGGTTATGTATGTATATGTAGTTGCATGTAATCGCATTTGAGATTAAGTTGAATTGTAATACAATTGTGGCATAGCAGCGCATGCGTTAATTTCCGCAGACGCACTGCATGAAAAATAAACTTATTCCGAATGTTGAATGGATTTTAAGAGGAATTATGCTTTCGAATGGCTGGCTTTTAGTATTTAGAGGTATTATTAAAATTAAAGCGTTTGTAGAAAAAATATATCTAACCCCGTTAAGTAGAAATTGTTATTGGCAAAAAACATTTAAATTGCAGGAAAAATTAAGAACAGTGACATATGTACATACACATAATATATACATAAAGGTTGTTGTTTTGATAGCATAAGATCAGGGGTGCATATAAGGCATTAAAAATTAAATTTGTTTTGTTTGTAATCCCATAAGTCTTAATTGGAAATAATTTTGAAATTTTTAGTCCCAAATACTGGATTGAAAAATAAAAAAATTTAATTTTAGCCTAAATACCGGATTGAAAAAAAATCCTAAGATTATAAAAGAGAAAAATTTTAGATCTTTTAATTTACTTCGCATTTGCGTATTTCGTGTTCTACCATTTCGGTGATATTTTGAAACTTATTTTTAATAAAAATATCAATATAGTTTAGCGCTTTTTGTCTTATTTATATTTAACTATAGTTTTGAGGGTTGAAAAACTTAAATCTTTAATTTTTATATTCCTTTTCATTCCAGCTTTTAATTTGAAAAATATTTTTTTATTTGTTACTCCAATTTTTAAATTAAAAATATTTACTTAATTTTTTATCCAAGATGTCTGGTAATAAAAACAAACTTTTGAATTTTTTTTATTAAATTTTTAAAAATTGTTTGTTTTTAATACCATCAAACAACTTTTTAATCTCAACATCACAAATTTTGTATTTAATTAAACATCCTGACATCTTGAGTTTAAAATTGAAAATCTTATTTTTGATCTAAAATTTTTAAATGATCGAATTTGCAATCCTGCGTAAGAACCCCAATAGATAGGGCCTAGGTAAAAATATCAATGTTTCGCATTAAAGTGTCTACTTATATAAAATCGGCTCTGATTCCTCTTGTGCTTCATCTAGCCAACAATATTCAAAAAATCCATGAACTTCACTTACTAGATACGAAAATGCGCTTCAAAAACGTACAAATTAGGCTTCATTATCAAACGTCTAATGACCTGACAATTTCATTTCATGATTACAAAAATTATTATTAATTCAAAAATATATATATAACAACATACATATGTATGTACATGTACACATACTTCAACTGTATAAGAAATTGTACTTTTGCAAAATAACAAGTTTAAATAATTCTATTGCGACTTTCTTATTTCTTTATGATTATTTATTATTATTATTTTTTTTTTTTTTGACATTTCACAATAAAACTCCAGTGCACATATACTTAATATATGCGCAAATAATGCATAAATTAAAGACGTAGTATCTGCAATAGCACATAGACCCCAACTGCTGACACAATCGGGCAATGGCACGAATAATGATCAAATCCAAACACTCAATTAGCCTAGCACAGCACTTCATATCGTTAGCGTAGCGATAAGAAAGTCAACAATGCTCTGCAAATTTAAGCGCAATCGACATTTAAATAGGCTTCGATTTTCTTTTACGTTAGTAATTGTAAAAATGTATAAATATTTATATAAATATACCAATAACAAATATTCTTATACATAAATATACTCCAATAATGCTTGAGTTAATCAAATTATATATAATTCTATAATTTGACTCTGCATACAGTTAGAAAGGCAAGTCTATGCAAGCATAACGAGATTAAAGTGACTAATTGAGCATAGAAAATAATAAATAGGTTCCAATTTCCTGTAGTATATACTGTATGTCATTTGTAATACATATCACAACACATTAATTCTAAGTAATTACATTAATTTTATTGATTACAGTGTCACACTATAGCACGTACGTACAATATACAACGTGTCTTATTAACGGTAATTAATTTTATATTTTATTTAATAAAAACAAATGTGTTTTTAATCAAACTTACCGTTTCACCATTTTGTTGGTCACTCCAGAATTATTTTCCTGTAGAGATCCAATATCGTCGGATTTGTTATAATCCAGCTTTGAAAATATTTTAATGCGCCGGAAATTAATTTTGAATTATTTTTAATTAGCACGGAATTACTGCAATTAACTACGTAGATAATGAAAAATCACTGAACGGACGGTGTGCAATATATATAACCTATAAATTCAAAAATAAATTTCAAAATGTTATACGCGTCGGAAACTTTTGAATTGAAATAATAATAAAACAAATTTAACAATAATAATTTTCAGCTCAAATCGGCTGTTTTAGTTGTCATTGTGCTGGAGGATTGGTTGCGTCTTTAACTTCTTAAGCTCTTAAACAAAAAAAATACTGTAAAGTCTCCAAACACGAACGTAACTTTTTAATTTTTTTTACGCTGAAAGAGTACCGGGCCTTTATGAGGGCACAATAGAACTTGAGTCGCATTGTTAGCCTCAATTTCTTTCTATTTCTAACTTAACTTTTACATAAACACATACATATGTAGGTATGTATGTACAACAAGTCCTCAATTTCCATATCCATTTTAACTAAACTTGTTAACAAAATAAAGTACAATAAGTACTTCGTTTATCGCTCAAACACTTTGCTAACAGCTCCATGTCGCCAATATCAACAACAATACCGATGTCAACGCCGCCTTCATTTCATGCCGCCATTCCAATCTACCACACAAAACACTTCCACCACCGCCGACACCAACATTTGCGGGAGCCAGCACAGTAGTAGACAAAATGTTTCCACCAGCGTTTGTGTTTTATTGTCCTTCCTCGACTGTTATTCAGTACAACCCCCACTTGCGAACATTTTTTTAATGCTTTTGTAGATATATTTTCCTTCTTCAGAATTTATTTGCATTGCATTGCGTTATTCTCTTGTGCTGTATTTTCAGTATTTCTTCTACTTATAGGCCTGTACCATTTTCTTTACCTTTAAATTTAATTAGCACTTTTAAACCTACAATGATTCCTCTCTTTCGATAAAAAGAAACTTTTGATTTTTTGGTTAAATTAAAAACTACTCCTGCTGTTTATGTATTAAACGTTTCAAAGAATTTTCACTGCCAACACGGCCGGAAAATTGTAATTTAATTGCACCAAACCTTCAGTTAATTGTGGTATGCAACAACAACAATATATGAATATATATGCATGTATATGCGGGAAAACTCACACAAAACTGCAATGAGATAGCGAATGCACTTTTTCTTTTCTACTTCGACAGCTTCTATTTTGCTGTTTCACACTATTTATTTGCTTCGCTTCTTTTTATTTTCACTTCATTTCCGAATTTGTTTGCACTGCGTTTTGAAGCTGCTTTCTAGCTGTTTTCTTCGATTTTTCTGCGTTTTGAATTCTTTTCACAGGAATATGTAGAATTCGAATTGCAAACCTATTTCCAACTCTTCCTTTGCGGCGCGTAATCCACATTCGTGTTCGTTTTTTTAATGTTGTAATGAAATATTTATTCTAATGTTTGTAGTTTAATTGAAGAGAACTTCATATCCATTAATATTATATATTTTATTGTATTTTATTTTAACGCAGAGTTTACTAAAACACGTTAACACAACTCCGAAGAAAATTAAAGACTGAATGGTGACTTCACCACAGAATCATTTTGTTGTTGCTTTGTGTGTTGAACTGTCAACTGGAAAACTTTTCACCATACGTTTTGTGCCGCCGCTTGACAATTGAGTTGTGGCAGTGTTCATTGTACGCGAATTTCAGGATTGATATTATTTGTCTGAGCAACTCTGCAAAGAATTCTTAAGTTTTTAGAAAATTAAATTCTTTGCAATTTTCATGCTCAATTCAAGCAGAAATAAAGAATTAATTAACAATTGACTAATACTTGACTAGCTTAGTCTATCGTACAGCATTTATTTTAATTGTTCTTATTATTAAAATTTTATTCTTAGATCTTTCGATCGTATCTTTTTTACGGTATCAAACGTTAAAGAACATAAATTACATTTTACGTTATATGTTTGGATAATTACAAAGTCTTTGCGACAGAGGTCGCTCAAACCCCTCTTCCAATTATAGACAATTTCCGTTGTTATCATTTAGTTCGTTTTGTTTACGCAAGAAATTGAAAATGTGCTGCAGAATAAATGTACATTGCTGCAGTTCAGTTTGTTTATACAAGTAAATGATTAATTATACATACGCGAATATGTTTATACACAGAAGTGCTTATGTATATATATTTTTGAGTGTAGATATGTAAGTTCACACTCTAGTATATACAAGCGATGTGCATACAAACGTACATATGTATTTGTTTTCATACTTAATTCGAGGAAGCTTTGAGTCATTGGATTATTTTGATAAACATCTTATTGTCGGAATTGATTTTCGGTACTTTTTAGGTGTGCAGATATGTAAAAGCAAGGATTTGTAAACAAAACGTGCGCGTATGCAGACTGTAAATATACATATGTACATACACATGTATATTTATATATTGTACATATGTAGGTGAGCATGTATTTAGAAAATACTTCACACAAAAGCTGAAAATTTTACACATATAAAGCTACAAACATCCATATGTATATGGATATACCTCGTCAAGTTGTAGCAGGTCATATAAAGTCTTCGATCTTTTGAGGTTAGAATTTCAGTATCTTAAATAAAATAAATATTTGAAATAAAAAATGGTCAGTTCATTCGCATCTAAGGTCGCAGGCCTCAGCTAAAATAATAACTTGAAATTTTTTAACACTTTCATATAAAAGCTAATCGAACCTGATTGATGGAGTATAAGTTTGATT